CACAGCCTGTACCCTGGGGCTAAAATCCCTCACATTTTTCTATACAAAGAGGCCTATGCCTGCCAGTTGTCCCCTCCATTATCCCACCAGTGGATCAGATCATCTCAACCACCCTTATAAATAAATCCATCTTATATATAATTATTAAGTCATAGCCACATTACAATTACAGTTTTATACACATTGAAATACAGATTTAACAATTTCATCATCATAATAAACCAAAAGTACCCTGAATCACATTCATCAACAAAAACTTCATCAATATAACCAACTTTCAATAACATCTTTATACCCTCACACATATCAATTGGCAGCTTCATCTCAAACTTATCCCTATCACTAAATATAAAATTGCCAAGCTAAGCTTGGTGGTCTTGTTATTCTGATAGTATAGAAGGGCAGAGCTTGCAACTCCAACATACCCTTCTCCATTCAGCAAAAGGGTTTTCATAACCACTTTTGAGTCTTACAACGGGAGAAGTGCACCGCCCTGTCTAGACCAAGAGATCTGTCAACTCCAAACCAAGCTAGAAAAAAAGGAGAGGGGAGTCATCAGGAGAACAAAACAGAAGGCAATTAGTTCAAGATGCGGCTAAAGGCCAACAAGATAGATACTACAACACAACTAGAACATAAGGAAGAGAAACTACCCACGGTTGAGAGCACCAAAATTTGCCGAGGCCAGCACTAGTGGCAGATGAAGATTGGCAAAGGCGTCATGCACCTGTCTGGAACCTAGCAACTGTCAACTGAGGAAGATTTAAAAGAGAGAGAGAGAGGATGTCAGCCACAGAGTACCTTTCACAGTACGTGCAATGTACCTAGTAACTGCAAATAATAATAACTAATTGAATACAGGAGAATATTATACACTGTTGTTAAAATAATAAATAAATATTTATTTACATTTAATCTTAATTCATAATTTATATTTACTAATTCTATAATTAACTGTGAAATCCCCTTGAGTATTGTACATATAATATCACTAGGATTTCACAGAAATATCACTAGAATAAGGCATTAAAGTAATATTTATTCTTATACATTATTTACATATTTTATAAGCCATAAACTAATTACATATGTATAAGAATCAGCTAGTGGAAGTGTGAAATGCATGAGGAATAAGCTATATAAAATTATCTGAAGCTTACCCATCCTTGATCACATCATCAGGGCATCAGATTGCATCATAACCCTCTTGGATGGCGTCATAAGGACCCTTTTGTGCTCTAATTCAAAGCTTGCATAATTCAAAGTAGCCTACATGGGAAAGGAGCCCAAATTCTACATGCAAGACTGAATTATGCATGAAGGACATGCATTTCTTTCACTGTAGTCGAGTTGGAAAAGACGCTCACCACCAACTGCTAACCTGGGTTCAATTCCCTGGCTTCACCATACCTTACCACTATTGCAACTAAGGCTGGCTTGTTTTGGTCAGCAGCAAGACAAGTCAGAGATCAAAAATTTTACATGCCTCAAGTCTTAATCCTTTAAGAATTCAATAAAACACACAATTCAGGATTTCTTTTTCAGTCTTAAGTGGTCCCATAAAAAAAATCGTGAAATCCCAAACAAAACATTTTTTTCTACAGTCACAGTTCCCTACTGGTCAAGTCAAATTTTTCTCTGGCCACTTTAACATTAACTTAACACCACTCAAGCCAATAAAATACATGCAAGGAAGGCTCTCTTTCACTTTTTTTCTGTAAGATTAGCTCCAAATCACAGTCAAAATTAGAATTGACTGGGGACAGCCAATAAGTTGGGGGAGGATGTGGTAAATAATACTGTGTTTCTACTCAGAAAAATATAAAAATTTATTATTATCTCTTTATATATTATAGATATGGTAAAATTAACATCAGAAATGGATTTCTCAGGTAAAATGACCCCTAGTCACTCTCTACAACTGACCCCATATCTCTCATAGTTTATATAGAAGTTATGCGGATTTCAACCTATCACGGGATATCCTTTGGACTCTTTACTCTCAGTATGGCCTGTTTTGCATACTGGATGCATATTGAATATTGAATGACTTTGTGTTGTATTGAATTCCTTTATTGGCACATAGTGCATATTGAATTCCTTTGTACATGCATTCCATTGTAGTAGGACCTTGTAGGCTAGCCAAAATACCTCAAGGCAGTGCTCTCACCAGCCAAATTTCCTCACCTGCATGTATTAGACCAGCAAAAATACCTCATTGAATCTTCAGGCCAGCTAAAATGCCCCAAAAGCCTGTACCCTGGGGCTAAAATCCCTCACAATTGTCTATATAAGGAGGCCTCTGCCTGCCATTTATTCCTTCCATCATCCCACCAGAGGACCAAATCATCTCAACCCACATTACAGATTATATACAAGTGACAGCCATAACAATACATTATATTGAAATACAAACATAACACTTTCATCATTATAACAAGTGCCAAGTGCCCATAACCTGCCTCACATACCAGTACTGGTTGAAGCACAGTGCTCCCAGAGCTCCGCGCTTTGGTTTTAAAGCTCTGAACAACAGCTTCATCAATATAATCATCACTCATTTATAACTTCAGACCCTTATACACATCACTCGGAAGCTTCATCTTGAACTATCCTCTATCACAATAAATATAACTGCCAAGCTAAGCTTGGTGGTCTTGTTGTTCTGATGGCATAGAAGGGCAGAGCTTGCAACTCCATCATCCCCTTCTCCATTCAGCAAAAGGGTTTCATAACCACTTTTGAGTCTTACAACGGTCTCTCTTGGCAGCCATGGGGCAATGACAAATTGGATCCACCCTCTGATTTTGATGATGAAACTCCACACATCAAGCCTTTGAAGTCTTACTTGTTAGATGCTGGTTAGAATTACTCAGGATATCAAGAAGGCTACCAGCAACAGATGGAGGATTATTTGGTGATTTTATCAAGACCAGAAGGCTTCAATTCCAAAGAATTTCAAGCATTCAAGCGCAAGTCTATCGATTTCTTTGTTCAGTCAGGAAGGCTCATGAAGCGTGGAAGTCCTTGTGCTCGTATTGTCATCACCATTCCAGCCAAGCAGGATTTTGTCCTTGAGAAGCTGCATGAAGAACTCGGTCATCGTGGAGAAATCAAAACTTATTGGAGAGTCTCAGAGCACTTTTTGTGGCCCTCATTGAAGAAGTCTGTTGCTAAGTGGTGAAAGAGCTGTGAAGCTTGTCAGAAGCGGGATCTTTGACGTCCAATGGAAGTTTTTTATCCTACTGGCGAGTCAACTGTTTTTGGACGTGTGGCAATGGATACAGTTCACATCAAAGCTAGAGGTGCCAAGTATCTGATTGTTGCATGGGACAATTTTTCTGGTTGGGTTGAAGCCAAGTTTCTCAATCCTCAGTTCTGAATCAGTGGTCTCAGTCCTTCATGAAAATTGGACGATGCGGTATGGTCTAGCTCGTTTGTATTCCACCAATGGAGGATCTGAATTTGGAGGAAAGCTAGCCAAGATGTTACATTTAATTCCAGGTCAACACCAAGTTTCAACTCCATACTATCCAGAAGGTCAAGGAATGGTTGAGTGTGGCCATGGACCCCTTAAATCAGCTTTGGTCAAGCTTGCTAGCAAAAGTGGAAAGAATTGTCAAAAGTTTCTGCCTGATCTTGTTTTGTTTGCCAATTGTATTTCAACCAAACGGACCACAGGATATTTTCCCTATGAACTTGTCTTTGGACAGAGAGCAGTTCTGCCTATTGATCTTGAAATGGATTCGTATCTTGGTATTGATTGGGAAGAAGTAGAAGACACGGCCGACCTTTTAGCTGCATGATCTTGACAGCTGGAACATATTGAAGAAACCTGAGGAGTCGCTTATCAGAAGATGATGAAGGCCCGTGAAGAGTCTGTCCACTACTGGGAAGATAAGAAATCCAATTGAATCAGGAATCCTTTGAAACCAGGCAGACTAGTTCCGGCTTATAACCAATCTCTCAAATCTCAGTGAGGAAAGCTTTTCTTAAATTGATGGAATGGACTATATCGTGTGGTTAGTCAATTGCGAGGTGGATCATATGTGTTGGAGGAGTTAGATGGCACAGAACTTGCAAGGCGCTTCTCATCAGATCAGGTCAAGAGGTTTTTTCCCCTTGGAGGCAAAGTTGACCAAAAGTAAGTCCTCCCAATGTATGCATCTCTACATAGGGTATATACTACCGTTTTGTAAAAACTCTAATTTATGCCACATTTGTGAGCACCTGGATGGGCCACTGGTTGTTTTGGTTTTTTTACTTTAGGTTTCAAGGTTAGAAGAAGAGATGAGCAGTCTAGGGACATACTGCAAGTGGTGAGGAGATGTGGTGTTCTAAACGGTACAGGCCCCCTCAAGGTTGAATTTCAAATTTCAAATCTCAACTATTCAATATCCTCAAGCCTCAAGATTTCAACAATATCACCTCAAATACCCTCTCAGTCCAACAGTTTCCTTCATTATATTATTTTACAATGTTTTGGTTTCCTTTTATTATTTGATTTCCTCTGATTATTTTAGGGGGCGTTGATAAACGCACGCCACCCCCCCTGGTGCACGCCAAACCGCACGCCAGGTGCGGATTGGCGTGCACGCCTGCACGCCAAAGAAAATTGGTGTGCGGGCCCGCACGCCAATCTACAGAGTGTAGACCGGCGTGCAGGCCTGCACGCCAATCTACAGAGTGTAGACCGGCGTGCAGGCCTGAACGCCAATCTACAGAGTGTAGACCGGCGTGCAGGCCTGCACGCCAAGGATTCGCCGCCGTCCCATAGGACCCAGGCATGGGTCCTATGGGACGGCCCCTTTTTTCAATTAATTCCATTTTTTTTTTTTTCAAATCCCCTCGGCCTAAAGAGGCCAAGGTCACACTGGCTTGTCGGGAGGGGTTCCTCCCGGCGAGCTGGTTTCTTTACCAGCTCGTCAGAAGGATTCCCTTCCGAATATGTACCAGCTTGCCGGGAGGATTCCCTTCCGACGAGCTGGATAGGCCCGCGATCACCGGCCTGGATCCACTACGTCCATCTCTTCGGCACCAAGCTGTCCCTAAAGATCACATTCAATCGCACTCCACGATTCTATAATATATATGTGGCATATGTAAGAGAAAAGAGCAGAGACCTTCCACGGCTATCTTATTTCCACGAGGCTTTGCCAAGGCTCAAATAGTCTTATGTATGGTGCAATGCTACATACCTTCTGGACAGCGATTTCGGAGATGGTCGAGCCCAGGAAAGCCTGATGGTCGACCGAGATGGGGGTGATGCAGCCCAGGAGGGTGTTCTCAGACTGACAGAGGTTTGTCGAATCCTTCTGACCGCCAAGACCGACTTCGATGAGTGCTAGATGGAGCTCGGATTGCGTTCTGGCGAAGATCTCAAAGGCGATGGCCGTCAGCAGCTCGAAGGAGGTGGGCTGGTCTATCCTGTTCCGATCGATTATCCTCTGGATCTTTGATTTTGTATCCTCGAACGTCTTTGGATTCCCTTCCAACGAGCTGGATTGTGTACCAGCTCGTCGGAAGGGAATACTTCCGACGAGCTGGTACATATACCAGCTTGTCGGAAGGGTTTCCTTCCGACGAGCTGGTATAGAAACCAGCTCGTCGGAAGTATTCCCTTCCGACAAGCCGGTGTACATGCTCGTCGGAAGGGTTTCCTTCCAACGAGCTGGTATAAAACCAGCTCGCCGGAAGAAACCCTACCGACAAGCTGGCGTGTGCATACTCTTCCCGGGAGGGGTTCTCCCGGCGGTGTGAGCTCGGCCTCTTTAGGCCGAGGGGATTTGAAAAAAAAAACCACTGAAATGAAACGAAAAAAGGGGTCCTCCCATAGGACCCATGCTTGGGTCTCTATGGGACGGCGGCAGTAGACCGGTCGATCGTATATAAATGCGTTTAGGAATCATCCGGGTGCAGGCCTGCACGCCGGTCTACATTATGTAGATTAGCGTGCGGGCCTGCACGCCAATTTTTTTTGGCGTGCACGCCTGCACGCCAATCCGCACCTGGCGTGCGGTTTGTTAAACAACTCCCATGTTAAGATCAAAAAGAGACTCTTTATTGAAAATCTTTATTTCACAGCCAGTAGTAGTAGAATGACTAACAGAGATCAATCAGAAGGAAAAAATAAGAAAGATATTCAATAAGATAAGAAAATATATGATACAATGTTTTATGAATGATCAAGAAAAGAAAAAATAAAGAAAAGAACTACCAACACTATGGAGTAAACCACAAGAACAATGACAATCTGAACAGACAACGGACACGATAAAGACAATATAATTCTCTAAGAACAACTGAAAGAACAACGAAAAGTTTAGTACACTATCTCTAAAACATTGATAGAAAAACATCATTAATGAACAAACTATTTTTTGACTCCTGTTTATTGAGTAGCTCCTCCTTAATTGATGTTCTCTCTTTGGTTCTTGAATCTATTGAATTATTGAGTGTTGATGAGTTTCTTGATCTGTTAACTTGAAATTTATTCGTTTACCTGTTGCTTTTCTTGACTGGTATTGATTAAGCTTTGTCTTGATGTTCGTGAATCGCAGTGAGGTGATCAATCAGAAGAAAAATGAAACGACCTCGTAGTCAAACTTCTCCCTTTCTCAAATCTTCTTTTCACACACCACCCGCACTTCCTTCCACCAATACTGAATATGCAACTAGTCCTTCAAATTACTCCCTCAACAACCCAAATATTGGAGTTCCAACTCCCAAATATATGGGACTTCACTAAGACCCCCTGCGGACTGTGCGCAGGCCGTCCACCCCCGGAGATGGCAGTCGGACCTCCCAAACCTTTAACAGGTTTGGGAGTCGATCATCCCAAAAAAAAAAAAAAATTAAAAAGATAAAAAAAATAAAAAAAACCCGGGGGTTTTTTGGAGTTGATCTTCAAAAACCCCCAGGGAGGTTGGGAGTCGGTGCCTGACTCTCAGCGGCGGAGAGGAATCCCTCTCCGCCGTTGAGAGTGTATACTCTCGCCAGCCGAGAGGGATTCCTCCCGGCCGCTGAGAGTGTATACTCTCACCGACCGAGAGGAATCCCTCTCGGTCAATGAGAGTGTACTCATCGACCAAGAGGGATCCTCTCGGCCTGTGAGAGTATACACTCTCATCAACCAAGAGGGATTCCTATTGGCCGGTGAAAGAGT